ACAATTGACTGCAACCAAGTTCAAAACAACTGAAGCGTGGCTCCGTTCCTTTACATATTCCATATCTTATAGTGACAGTTTCCAGAAGTGCAAACATCGAACATGCCTCCAAACATGTAATGAGTCAGACTGAAATAATTTCTACAAAGAACAGTGTGAGTTCACAGCACGTCAAGTCAATAAGAAGGACAAACAGTGCAGCAGGAATGACAAAACCAACTAACAGTCTGATATCCCCTGTTCCTGTTGGTCTCCAGCATCATTATTTATACTTCTCCACCACCATGACTGCACCTGACCAATGAGCTTCTGTGATTTCAAGTGACGCACTGTGACTCAGACTGGAGAAATGCTAAACGATTCCTACAAAGTGTGTGCTCAGTATGAGATGAGTTTGGTAGCTCTGTGTGTGCACAGATGAACTCCACAGGACATCTCCTGTATGAAGAAACTGTGCTAGTTTGTCCAACAGCGGGAAATATTCAGAGAATATCTCAGAGAATATCTGTGAAGCAGAAGCTAAACGTAATAATAGGAATACTTCAGCTTTTTGTGTAGCTTTAGTGTAGAGCCTTCAACACAGTGCCACTGACGCCCTCCTGAATTCGTAATATTTTTGGACTCTGATATTTCTTTTTCCATTTTTTGGATTTCACACAGTAGAAATGTACAACTTTAGTGTGAAAAAGTTTTTTATTTTGTTGTGTTTGTTTGAAGCCTCTTCCTGTTGGCCTCTGCTGTTTGGAGTTTCCATTTTCTAAACTTCTATATTGTGAACCTTCTTCAACTCTGAACAGATTATGAAACTATGAAATGAATCATTTCAAGCACACACTTCGTCTAATAAACCTCCATCTTTCATTCATTATATAGATTGAGGACCTGTGTCTTGTCAGAGAAGAGCCTTGAATATCTGGCAGCAGCACTGAAGTCCAACCCCTCCCATCTGAGAGAGCTGGACCTGAGTGACAACAACAAGCTGCAGGATTCAGGAATGAAGCAGCTGTGTGGTTTTCTGGAGGGCCCAGCATGTGGACTTAAAACTCTAAAGTCAGCAACCATATTTTATTTGTGCTGAGATGAATATGATGTGAAAGTTGTGCTGACAGTAAACTGCAGACATAAGGCTGATATTATACTGATCCACACTGAGGATGTTCATGGCAAAGTCTGCTTTCTTCTTCTCTGGTTTAGTCCACTGACCGTAGAAGAATACTGTTCACATTTCAAACAGTGATACTCAACGTATGGCCCGCGGCCCTCCACAGGGCACCAACCGGCCTGCTGACCTTTCCTAATTCAGAGAGAGGGGACCCTGATTAACTGTGTAACGTTCTTCTTCAAAGTTCTAAGTATCAGACACAACAATGAGTACTCAACAGCTGACTCTTTAGCAGGTCAAAGGTCACGGCACACAGCAATCTGTAAAACAGTAAAGGTTTGGAGCAAGAATTATTGCACATTTACAAACTAAGACTGCTGCTTGGCATACTGGGTAATCCGAGCTGCTCAGGTATTGGTCTGCTAACGACTGTAAGAGGCTCTGTGGCTGCAGACCACAGAAGAACAGAAAAGAGAGATGAAGAATGTAGAAAAAGGCGAAGATGAAACAGAACTCTAGCTACAGAGAGGAGCTGTGTCTGTGTGGGTGGGTCTCAGGCACCTCCGCCCACACAGTGACAGAGAAGCAAGTGAAGAGTAATAAATAAACACTTTAACAGCAGACAAAATTTCATAAGCTGATGTACAAATGTGTAGAATGATTGTGGCAGGTATGGAAAAAGTTCCATAAAGATTGAAGCGTGTCTTTATTCCTTTGCATATTCCATATTTTGTAGTGAGAGTTTCCAGAAGTACAAA